AGTAGTTTTTAAGTAGAGCTATTCTTTTATAAAGGATGTTTTCTTCTCCTATACATAATTTTTTTTTAACTGGGCTAAGTGGCTTCATTAGGGAAAGCCAGGATGACAAAGGATGTAAGAGTTGGCATTGGGGCCCTTCTTGCCAAAGGTGGGCACAACATTGACAAAATGCCAGTTATACTGCATTCACCACTTGGCTCAACCAGTCTTTTCCTCCTGTTTGTCGACCTTGGAGGTCTGACCTCTTACTTTCCCAGCATGGGCCAGGGAGCCATGGACTTTACCCTCAGCATGTGGCCAGCTACTTCCAGAGTGATCAGAGGCTCCACCCCACATTGACCCAGGGTAGCCTCATCCTCTAGAGGCATGCCTACCAGTAGCACCACTTGATCTTCTGGAGCAATGCCCTCCAGCAAGGCTACATGAGCCTTGATCTCGGTGACAGTCTCCTGGCCAATCACCTTGAGTCTTTAAATGTCTTGTGTGTGTGTGTTGGGGTAGGAGTATCTTTCTGTTGGGAGCGGATTTTTCTCCCCAGTTAGAAATAATTCCAGCTTCCTCCTATTGTCTCATGATTACTGGTTTACAGAAGCCCTGGATTTTGTATGGAAGCCAAGTTCCTGAGTGGGCAGTGTTTGTTCACCTCTTTACTTATGACACATAGGTGTCTTGGCACCTGGTAGAACAGGTAAGTAATTACTAGATTTCCTCTTTCATTGTCCTTCCAAGGTCCTGCCTTCCTTTTAGAAATACAATGTATTAACTAAGCAGGTTTGACCTATTTAAAAAACAGCTTTATTTAGGTGGTGTGAATTATTTTTACCCATTCTTCAAAGAAATCACATGGTGCACACCTGCTTACTAACAGTGAGCAGCAAATACTGCCAACTTCCTCGTGCTCTTTATCAAACAAACTTCTCATCCAGAGAGTTTTAAATTCCAGTCCTATAAAATTGATGTAAATTGGGAGCACAATGCCTAAGTAACCCTGATGTACCTGAAGGTGAACCATCATTGGTGTGAAGCTGCGGCTCCACTAAGGCTCCATTTCAGGATTACTGGGACAGCCTCAAAAACAGTGATGCCCAGGTCCCTCCTCCAGAGTCTGCCTAATTGGTCTGGAGTATAGACCAAGATTCAGTAGTTTTCAAAGCTGCTCAGGTGATTCCAATGTGCAGCCGAAGGTTGGGCTCTTCCAGTGGAGAGACCTGGAGGACACTCTGGAAATGAGCACTCACTGTTTGAATCACCTTCCGGCCATTGATTGTTATTTTCCACATGTATATGTGCTCACTTAACTGACTTAATTATTTAAAATGCTCAGAACACAACAAAGTACTCTCTGAGTGTCAATTTGTTAAAGATTCCTGTAGAAGGAGAAAAGATTTAATTTTTTTACATTAAAAAATCAATCTAAGCTTATTTGCCAGAGATTTAGAGAGGATGTTCAAGTTTTCTTTTCTGTGATCACTATTATCATTCTGAGAGGTTGAAAAAAGCACTAATTTTTTTTTTACTTTTTGGCTATTATATAGAATATTTTAAAGTATATTTAATAAAATATGATTTTGCTATTAGAGTTGTCCCATTTTTCTTCCCCTTTAGTCCCCTCTGCCCTGCATCCTCCCTCTCACCAGCATTCCCCCACCCCAGCTCATATTCATGGGTCATACATATAAGTGCTTTGGCTTGTACATTTCCCATACTATTCTTAACCTCCCCAGCTATTTTGTACCTACCATTTATGCTTCTTATTCCCTATACCTTTTCCTCCCATCCTTCTCCTCCCTCTCCCCGCTGATAACCTTCTTTGTGATCTCCATTTCTCTGATTCTATTCCTGTTCTAGTTGTTTGCTTAGTTTGTTTTTGTTTTTGTTTTTTTTGTTTTTGCTTAGGTTCAGTTATTGACAGTTGTGAGTTTGTTGTTTTACTGTTCATAGCTTTGATCATCTTCTTTTCCTTAGATAACTCCATTTAACATTTCATATAATGAGGGCTTGGTGATAATGAACTTCTTTAATTTGACCTTATCTGGGAAGCACTTTATCTGCCCTTCTATTCTAAATGATAGCTTTGCTGGATAGAGTAATCTTGGATGTATGTCCTTTCCTTTCATGACTTGGAATGCTTCATTTCAGTCCCTTCTTGCTTGTACGGTTTCTTTTAAGAAATCAGCTTATAGTCTTATAGGAACTCCTTTGTAGGTAATTGTCTCCTTTCCTCTTGCTACTTTAAAGATTCTCTCTTTGTGTTTACTCTTGAGTAATGTAATTATGATGTTCCTTGGTGTGTACTTTCTTGGGCTCAACATCTTTGGAACTCTTTGAGCTTTTTGGACTTCCTGGAAGTCTATTTTCTTTGCCAGATTCAGGAAGTTCTCCATTATTTGTTCAAATAAGTTTTCAATTTCTTGCTTTTCCTCTTCTCCTTCTGGTACCCCTATGATTCAGATGTTGGAACATTTAAAGTTGTCTCGAAGGTTCCTAGGCCTTTCCTCATTTTTTTGAATTCTTGTTTCTTCATTCTGTTCCAGTTGAATGTTTATTTCTTCCTTCTGCTCCAAACCATTGATTTGAATTCTGGTTTCCTTCCCACCACTATTGGTTCCCTGTATATTTTTCTTTATTTCACTTTGCATAGCATTCACTTTTTCTTCTATTTTGCAAACATACTCAACCATTTCTGTGAGCATCCTGACTACCAGAGTTTTGAACTCTGCATCTGATAAGTTAGCTACCTCTTTACTGCTTAGTTCTATTTTTGGAGCTTTAATCTGTTTTTTCATTTAGGGCATATCTTTTGTCTCGGCACCCCTGTTACATCGTAAGTGGTGGAGCCTTAGGTATTTGCCAGGATGGGGCAACCCACATAGCTGTGTTGTGGTGCTGTATGTGCAGGAGGGGTCCAAGAGGGAACAATGCCACTTACTGGGTTCTTGGCCAGCTTTCAGTCACTTCCCCCATTAAATACAAGCAAAGTGGGCCCTTCTGGTACTGATTCCCAGGTAGGTGGGTTTGCGTACATTCTAGGACCCTGTGGGTCTCTCCAACAAACTCTCCTGTGAGGCTGGGAGTTTCTCCCACCACCTCAACCCCCACAGGTTTTTATAGTCAGAAGTTTTGAGGCTTTTTTTTTCCCTCCGCACTGGAACCCTGGGTTGTGTGGTCCATCTAGCTCCCCGTTGTTCCTCCTGGCATGTGGGACCACCAGCCACTGCCTTGCTGTCCTCTTTGCCCTGGCTTCCCATCTCTGCTCCACCTACCAGTCCAAATGAATATTTCTTTAACTCCTTGGTTGTCAGACTTCCCTACAGTTCTATTTTCTGGCAGTTCTGATTGTTTTTTGTTTTAAAATTTGTTTTTGTACTTCTTTCAGTTGTGCGAGGAGGCATATGGTATCTAACTATGCCTCCATCTTGGCTGCAAGTCAGGTAGAATATTTTTAATAAAGAAAAATAAATTCTACCAGTTGGTTGAGTTGGTGTTCTTATTATTTTCAATACAGGGGACAAGGAGTGATTTATGGGCCTCACTCAGTTATCATTCTGGAGGTGGGGTGACAGTAATGGGAATATAAAGATAAACAGAGAATCATGGCATCTTATAGAACTCAAGAAACTTCTTTCCAGATGTAAAGAATTAAGGCTTTTTAAGAAACAAGTCCCTTATGAGGTGCTTATGAAAAATATATATTTGAATGATAAATGTTAGTATTTGCTAGAAAATATCACTTTTATTTGGAAAGGTTGGCATCTGCTTTTCACAGCCAGATGTCTAGATCAAGGAATTTTATGTCGTTATATCAGCATCTGGATCCTTTCTTGATTCAAAGAGTTAGAAACTATCAAATAAAAGGAAAGTCAACATATGAAGTGTATTTTGCCTAACTAAATGATATATCAGTTTTTCAGAGAGTCTTAGGCTTGAGATGGCATCATTTAAATCTCTGAGCCCAAGATAGCTTCAATCAAAAACCACATTTTCTACAAGTCAAGATTTATATGTAAACATTCTGTCAGGTTTCCAATTTTTTCTAGGATTGTTGCAGGTTGTAGATACGAAGGCAGAGCCTGGGGTAGGCAGGAATCAAAGTATGTCTTGACTTCATTTTCTTCTGTCCAGTTCCACTGCTGCCACCTTAGTCAAAGTCACCATTGCCAAGACAGCTGGCACAGCTTCCTGATTAATGGTCTCCTCTCATCCATGCCTGCCGCTCTCTCCCTGCCCACCCCAATCTATTCTGCACATAGTAGTCAAGTGATCTTTGTTCTGATCATGTTGCTTTTCTTGTTCTCTCCACTAAGAACAAAACCCAAACTCTTTATCACAACTCTGTCTTCCTCCCAGCCTGTGCTTTCCTCTTCTACCTCTCAACAACACAGGCTTTTCAAGGTGTCAAACTTGCAAACCTCTTAGATCCTCTAGCCTTCACTTTAAGCCTTGGTTTAAAAGATACTCAGGTCAGACACAGAGATAAACCCACAGAAATTATGCATTTATTAGTCTCCCAATTATCTCACAGGATTGTAGTGAGTATTAAATATATACTGAAATATTGATAGATCTCGTATTTATATTATGTTTAATCTTCTGAAAACCCAAGTGTGTGTGTGTGTGTGTGTGTGTGTGTGTGTGTGTGTGTGGTGTGTGTGTGTGTATATATAGTGTGTAAGTGTGTGTGTGTGAAGACAGTTCTGGAATCCACACTGGCTAAGCTTTCAGATTTGCCAAAATGCCTGCTCTTTTGATGAGCTTTGATGATAAAGTTTCTCCAGCTATATAACTTTTTTTTAGCACTTATTCAGACTGTGCCCCTGCTATTACCATTTCATTGGGACAAGGAGACACATATTTATAGAAGGGTGGAATCCCAGAGGGATTTTCCTGATGAAAGCCTCCCAGCTGAGTGAGTCCACACACCCAAGGTCCTCCTAGTCCCCAGCTGGCCCAGCAGCAGGATGTCCCACGTAATGTACAACAACCACACATGAGAAACCAAGTATCAATAGTCCAAACTAAGACTGCTATATTTGTCCTGAAAACACAGATTCCTTATTCTATATGTGGCTGCACATGTGCTACAAAGGTGTCAAAATATTAATCCTTCAACCCCAGTGTGCTCTCAGTATATAAGCAATTTCTCTGAAGACTATGATGCAGAGAAAGAATGAAAAAGGAGCTAATATTGCAAGGTCATCATGGTGCCTCCCTTGCTCCCATTTCAGCAACCTCAGTGACTCTCCAGGGCCCCTCTGCAGCACTCCAGTCATTTCAGATGGAAACTTTGCTCCTACTCCATTCTTCCTCTCTTTTTTTTTGATGCCATCACATGTACCATATTCTCTTATGTCAAATTTGTTCTCCTAGGAAACAAAAAAAGCATATCATACCAAGGAGCTCACTTTGATAATGGCTCAGTGCATTTCCATTTTACCCCCAGAGAAGCATTGCAGCCACTGCCTTTGGGTCCTGCAACAGTTAGTGATGCTGGTATTTCAGTCACATGAGCAAACCTGAGATGAACTACTTTTGGGTAAACCCTGCCACATCTGTGACTGTCTTCTCTACCATCAAGTCCACCTTGTACTGTAGGTCCATTTTCATCCAGTGTTAGACTTTCACTGGCCTATAGGACAGAGCATAAGAAATAGAAGGTACAAGTTACTTATTCAATAATCAATGAGGCCAAATTTCATTATGTTTTTTTAAAACAAATTATTTAGAGAATCTTGCCTTTAAGGTCCAGGGTTCACAAACTCCATAAAATAATAAATCCAAATGAGAGTTAAGTACATATTGAGGGTATATGCTTTTTATCTTTTCTGCCTCTAACACTGGCTGAGTAGTTTGCTATTAAGGAATGAAAGATCAATCATCACCTGGTGACTTGTCTTAGAATGTAAAATAGCTAACACTTTCACTCTAAAATCTTTCTGCATAAAGGCAGCAAATTACACACTGACCATAATGATTACTTGGGGGCAAATGTATGTATGTATCTGTGTTTATATGTATTAGACACCAAGTGAACCTGCAAAAATATGAACATATGTTTAACGAGCATGACTTACTCAGTCCCATCTCCTTCAAGGTGGCTAAATAAATACAGGGTCCAGCACAACTAACACCCCTTTTTATTACAAAATCTCTTATTACAAAATCATAAGCATGTAATTCTGTAACAAAACAATATTACACTCAAGCCACCATATGACATTTTAGGTGAAATGTTCAAATTAAAACTCTAAGTTATTACACCCATATTATTATCCTACTACCACACCCAAGCAGGTGTTACTTCTGCCAGACCCTGTACACTGCTGCTTATTTCATGAGTTCCAGGTGTGTTTTAACAGCCTCAGATAACTTTCTGGGAAAATCTGCAAACATGAGGTTATATTCAGATGCATGCCTTCTTTACCTCAGCAGCAGGCAGCCTACCAAACTTAAAATTGAGTTTCTCCCTGACTCTAACTTCCACATTTCTGTTCCCACTGCAGTTGGTACGTGGAATTAGGTATGAGATTCACTTTTTTGCATTTTCCTGTGAAGTATTGTACTATGGATTCTAAAGGAGTGACCCAAACCCCTCATTGCTGCTCAAATACCAGGAATGACATTCTATACCTAAGGGAAATTACCATAGTGGAGAGCAAATATATTTCACATCCTATAGCTACTCAGAAGGAAGCCTTGACATTTCAGGAGAGGTGAAAAGGAAGGACAGGAATTCAGCTTCCACACTTCCGAGGTAGCAAAGGGAAGGAGAGTGTTCTTGGCATGAGTGATGACCAAAGTGATCCAATATGAGGCCGTCATTTTACTGTGAGTCCCGAAGGAAGAACATGAGGGAATCTTAGTTAACATTCTCCTTACAAGTGTATGGCACTCAGAAGGGTTAATCGGATCTTTCTAGGATAGGAAAAAAAGACTTTGTAAGCTATTATAGAAAGAACAAAATAAAAATGACCTCAAATTTCTGGTGTAAATGACAGTCCTTGAGAGGGAAAAACAAGTATTTAAGCAAATGACAGGGAAATACACGTAGGCAGATTCTATCATACAGAGCTTCCTTTTCTAAGATGTGATATCAATTAATTGTGAGACTAAGAGGCCAAAAAGGGCTTTCCTCAGCAAGCGGTAAAATTCAGTTTCTTTTGAGTCCTCCAACCCTTCCCCTACAGAGAATTGAATTATTCAACTTAAACAGCTTGGGAGGGCCTTTTAAGAACCAAATTTGTATGTATGTCTCTTTTCTCTGACCTGCAAAGTGCTGGCTGGGAGCTCAGGGCATCATTAAGTTAGAAATGTCATCTCCTTCTATTTCTTTGCCCTCCAGTGAAAAGAATCAAACCAAAATGAGAGATGCTGTTACACACTAGACATGATAGTGCTTTCCAGGCCAATTGTTTAAAAGACTCAAAATAATCTATATTTTACCAAAGGCCAAGCCAACTTGATTTCAACACATTTGCACTGGGAGCCCTGGATATCAGGGCCCAGCTCTGAGCTGTGGTTCTACCTTCTTATCTGGTTTCCCTTTCTTGCTATGAAATTCTGGGCTTAGTCTCCTCCCCTTCTCCCCTCCCCTCTCTCTTTTTTGTGAAACTCCACTATATCTGTACTGAAAATCAAGATCAAGTAAGCTTTTGCCCTTCTTTCTACAGGAGGTTTCTGTCCTTTCTGGGCTTGTGTTAGTTAGGTTTGCTTTTTATTAAAATGAAGGGACTGAACTAGGTGAGCTCTAAATTCTTTTTTGGTTAAAAATTTGAAGGTTCTTTGATGCTTAAGACTTGTTTGCCTCTAGCCCAATCACTCACATACATGCTCATAAGGCATCTGGGTTTTATATGGTGTCATTAATTTGGATTGTCTGTGATCCCGAACAAATGAATACCCACAGGAGCATTGAATTGTGTGAAGTGATTGGATTAGGAAATTGATTAGCAGAAGAACCATTTGGGAAAGTTCTCTGACAAGAAAAGAATTTACCCATGAACCCACTATTCATAAGCAGTGGGCATTAGAGAAAAGAAAATCTCCATATTTATGACTGGACAAAGGATTGCCAATGAAACAGGTGATTTAGAATAAAACCTAAATGGTAAGAGAGATGACAAAGTAGAAGAGTTTTGGGGACAAAATGAGAGATTGGAATGGGCAAGAAATAAAGCAAATCAGCATAGCACCTGGTCATGTGAAAAAAGTCAAGAAAGCATCAGTAGAAAGAGTGGAGTTTGTTCTTACATTTCTCACCAAGAAGATGGTGTTCCTCTGGCTGAAATAAATAACTATATATCACATACTTTCACTGATTAGGTGATAAAAGATAATATTTCTAAAGATTCTTCAGTTATTAGGAAAGGAAGATTAGAAAGGAAGTAGTGTCTAAGCAGAGTCTTGAAAGAACAAATTAAATTTGCCAGGTAGTGTTGGTAGGCAATTTTATCATCCATCACAAATAGTCAATTTAGAACTTAACCATTCTACCTTAATGTATCCTGAGCTTTCTACCTTCCCAAGCAAAATACATCTGCAATTTATATGACAAACAATCCTGAAATATGCTTAGTGAAGCTCAGTTTTATTAGACAAATGTCTTTAAGGCTTACAAATAGAAAACAATGAGAAATTATCTTGATGGATCTATATTACCACAAAGAATCTTGCAAGTACATATCCTTTTGAGAAATTAGAAACATGCTTTTGAATTAATTGTGTTAGTACAAATTTTTTTAAAAATCACTTGTTTTAGGAGAGTGATCAATTTTTAGACAAGGCAACACTATTTTTCTATTTTTTTTCTCCACACAGTAATATCTTAAAATCACATCCTTTTCCTTATGGTTGAAAGCATTTCCCCAACCCCCAACCCAGACCTCCTGGGAAAATTCAATGCATGCTTCAAATCTCTGCTCAGACACTACTTCCAGTGTGAGATTTCTTCCTGAACCACTCCAAAGCCTACAAATGAGAGTTGTATACTATGTGTTCAGTTGTCATTCTTTGTTTTACCATCTTACCTACTCAACTTTGAGCACCTTAAAAATCAGTAATAGAGATACATCTAATTGATGTAAGGGGTAGGATCAGAGTCAGTGTGAAGTATTTTTGAATAAATGAATAAATAAAAGTAAAATTAAACATGAGCATATCACCATTTTGGGGGTGAACTCTGAGACTCTGATACAGCAAAATACACAAGGAACAAAATTAGTTATCATTCCATGGCATCTACTCAACAAGCATGATACATGATCAATTTTCAACTATACTCACCCACTCTATTTACTTTAATAACATATTTGGCAGAAGCACCCATGCATTTGTGTAATTTCACCAATTCCTTTTGATAACTTTCTAGGCTTTGAAATTGAACAGTCTATGATTTCAACCCCATGCCACCCACCATTATGAACTTACTTAAAATTTCTGAGCCCCAGTTGAAAGAATAAAAAATTATTAGGCAATTTCATCATTCTATCATTTACTCAAAATCCTTTTGTCTTCATTTCATCACCTGTAAAGTGAAAATAACACAGAATGGGCTATTGTGGTAATTAAATGAGAAATATATACAAATTGTACAATTTATTGCTTCACATATAAAAGGTATTTTATAAATGGTAACTATCAATTCTGTTGCAAAGTACAGTAGAGAGATTCAGCCTGGACCAAAAGATATGACTGCATCTCCCTTCCTCCTTGTGCCCATTCAGGAAAAACATTGCTCATTCCCTTTTCTCTGTGCCTACCCAAGTATTGAACATTTCATTTCATTCTTATACTACAGTAGGACCTGTCATAAATCCTAGATGATGATTCTCCAGACACCAAACCAAATAAATTGTCATCTGTCAGAAAAATAAATAGAAGTTTACATTACCAGCTGTGTGATATGAGGAAACTTACTTAAACCCTCTGTTCTTTGTAAATTGGGGGTAATAACAGTACCTATTTTATAAAATGTTATGATAAAATGGACAAATGCACACACACGCACACACACAGACCTCCTAGAATACTGCCTGCATGCTATGAATCCTACATAAATATTTACTACCATCATTATTCCCTTTAAATCAATAAATATTGAACATACTAAAACAGACCAGGGCATGCAACACAGTCCCGCTGCAGTCCCTCCATTCCTCAGCACTCCAACCTGGGGAGCCAAAGACTCAAGGGCAGTGAGCTCCACTCCTGGTTTTGTGCTCTTTGAACCACTGCTGGGCCCTAAAAATGTTATCTTGCATAAGACACCCCATGTCCTCTGAAACTAGCCAGGAATTATCAGCCTGCTATATTTTGTTTTTCTAAAAATATTTCACTCTTTCTTTCTATTAAGAAAAAAGAAGAGTCAATATTTCACTCTTTCTTTCTATTAAGAAAAAAAGAATAGAAAAGGTATTTAAAATTTAAGAACAACAGTAAGAAATAACTTTCAAAGAGAAATTTCATGTTAAGTACAGAGATGGAAAAGAGAATATTTAGATGAAAACATTTTTTTTACTTTCCTAGTACCTTTATGAATTTCCATTACCATATACTGAAGCTATTTTTGATTTTACTATCAAGTTCACCCATTTATTACAGCTTTGGAAATGACAGAGATGATGCAGATCCACCAGCACAGACCATTTCTAAACACTAAGCATCTTTCCCTCCCAAAAAAGAAATGTATGCCTGTCTCAGACATCCCTTGTATTTGCATTCTGACAAATAAAAATAGTTCTCACATGTTGCATTTAATAATGAAATGGGTCATTAGGCATGGTGAGGAAATTAAGGCAATTTCTTAATAAAATATTATGTATAGTAATTTTATAACTCAAAGAATTATCACACATGCTATACTATTTAATCCACTCAACCTCCAGTGACATAGAAAGATGTGATTTTATTTTCCCATTTTATAAATTAGCACACAGCAGCCCAGAGAGACACATTTGCCCAAGGAAAATGGCAAATACTGGAACTCACATCCAGGTCTCTTGATCGTCCCCCTTCAGTTTACTGCACCTCCCCACGTCTCAGGGTACAGAGTTATTTTCAAGTAGAATATTTAATTATAGTTTTCTGGATCTATAACCTTCCTATTCCTCTTCCTCATAACTAACTTTTATTGAGTGGTAGCATGTCCAGACAACACTCTTTATGTATCACAGGAAATAACTTCTGTGAAAGGCAATATTTGAAATATAATTTCTTTTTCTGTTTGCCACTAAGTACTTTAAGGAAACTGGGAAAGCTTAATTAAAAAGCAAAAGATCTATATTAAAAGTATAAACAAGTAGACTATATTCTAAGCTATATGTGTTTTATTCATTGTTTTATCTCCAACACTGGACATAATGCCTGGTTTGCAATAAACACCCAATAAGCGGTCTCACTTTGCTCCATAGTAGCAGAACTCCTATTTTAACCTGAATACATTGCCATGTAGGTGAAATATTATATTTTCCAGGCTCCCTCATGAGCAGGTGGGACCATGTGACCAATCATATGACTGACTAAAAAATATTCTGTGAACTTTTGGAATAGTTTCCTTAAAATGCAGGCATGGGGGAATTCCACTCTCAGAATAATGGGCTAGGTAATTCACAAGAGTGCTGCCACTATACACAATTAGAAAGGCTAAGTAGTACATGTATTTTGAAAAAATAAAACAAGTTTGAATATTAAAATTTTAATAAGGTAAGGAAAAATTACAGGGCCAAGATAAGGAAACCCAGAGAAGTGAGTACAGCAGCACTTGTGGTTACATTTTCCCCCTGGGTGTGTTTCCATGGGCGTGTGGCAACAGACAGACGGCACACTCAAAAACGTAATTGAAATGTGCTTAATGATGAGAGTGTTTACAAAGCTGTGTGGATGGTTAAAGAAAATAGTACAAAAGGCATGGTACAGTCCCTAGGGTTAGGAACAACTAGGAAGCCCCTAGTGCCACTAGGGCTGAAGGCACAGGAAGGGGAGCAATTAATTAATTACTTGAACTTGGGAAAATCTATCAAGCTATAGAAAGATATAATAGTGAGAAACAGGTGAATCTAGGGGAATAAATGGGCTATACAGAGCAGGACATTTGCATATTCCAGAAAAGTTCCATAAGAAGATGAGCAGAGTTGTTGAGATACTTATTGGGCTCAACACATAAAAGCTGGAGTACAAGACCCTCTAAAGGGAGAAGTCCTGATAAACCACCAAAACTTTAGATTGGGGCTGTGACTGACTATAGTTTAAGCAAAAAGATGAAGCAGAAATAAACCAACCTTTACAGAAAATTACAGGAAATAGAGCTTCAAGTCATCCTAGTTCTTCATTGGATTGAAATGATCCAGGATTTCTATTAACCCTAGTTGCCAGCCAGAAGCAACAATAAATTCTCTCTTGGAGAAGACAGCATGAGCTTACTCTTCAGATTATATTAATAAATAAATGATGTCTAAACGTTTAAATAAATAAAAGATAAGATTGAGAGTCTTATCAAAAACTAATCCCTATTAAAAAGAACCAAATAAAAATTCTAACACTAAAAAAATAAAATAACTGATAGTACGATCTCAATAGATTAGTAACATATTATTTATTGTTTAAGGACAAATGAGTAAAGTAGAAGGTAGGTTAGAAGACATACCTTAAAAAGAGGAAAATGATGGAAATAGGAAAAATATTAAGAGACACAGGGCGTATACACTGACTTATGTGTGCATAAAGGAATCGGAGGAAAGGAAGGAGGAAGGAGAGTAAAGGGGGGAGGGGAGTGGGGAGAAGGAAGAGGCGCAGAGGAGCAGCAGCAGCAGTGTGACAGGACATAGCTGAGCCGTAGCTGTTCTCACATAGCAGCTGAGCAGTAGCCATTCCCAGATAGCAGTTATCTCAAGGTCTCACGCTAACTGCCCCGTGTCCCCCCCCCTCCCCCGCCCGCCTGCCTCCCCCGCCCCTCCCTCCGCCCACCGCTTTCTGCTTCTGTAAGCCCAGGCTTCCCGCCTGCGACTGTGCTCCTCCCTCCCTTCTCCTACTTCTGCCTTGGCAGCAAGAATGTAAGCAAGCCCCCACCTGAGCTCGGGGCCCAGAGTTCAGACAGGGTCTCCTCTGGGTCCGCATGTGTGAATAAAACTCCACTTCGCAAACTCTGATGCTGTCTGAGTCGCTTTTCTGTAACAGCAGTAGAGGGGAAGGAACAGAATGCGGTAGAAGCAACATTTGGAGAGAGAACGATTCATAGTTTCCAAAACTGATGAAAGATCAGTTCATAGGCTCAAGAATCACTACAAATCTCAAGCCAGAAAAACTCAAAGAAAACCAGACATAGGTATATCATAGCAAAACTGCTCAACATCAAAGGTCAAAAAGAAGAAAGGCAGAGTACCTTCAAAATTTCAATAAGTTTTACTAGTTACTTCTCAGCAGGAACAAGGAAAGCTAGAAGAACAAAAACAACATTTTAAAGTATTTGAATAAAATGTGGCTACTTACAAGAACATGCATTAGTTCACAAAACAATAATGTTGCATGAGAGAATCCAAACACAAAAGAATAAATACTGAATATTTCCATTTAGAAAAATGCAAACAGCTCATTGATAATGGTGAAAGTTGGAATTTTGTTTATCTTTGAAGAGGAGGGGGAGGCTTTGAGGATTGGAAGAGGGCATAAGAACAGTTTCTATGATGTTGGTAATATTCTATTCCTTGACCTGGTTTATGGCTACTTAGGTGAGTTACCTTCACAATAATTTATTGATCTATACTCATGATATGGCACTTTTCTCTATGAGTATTATATTCAATTATTAAATGTATAAAATGAAAAAGTACCCCAGCCCATGTGGTTCAGTCGGTTGGAGCATTGTCCCATGAACTGAAAGGCTGAGGTTTCAGTTCCTAGTCAGAGCACATGCCTGGGTTGTGGGTTCAGTCCCTGGTCAGGTGAGGTGGGCAGATAATTGTTGTTTCTCTCTCACATGGATGTTTTTCTCTCTCCCTCCCTCTCTCCCTCTCCCTCCCTTCCCCTATCCCTAAAATGAATAAGCATATCCTCCTTGGGTGAGGATAAAAATAAATAAATAAATAAATAAATAAATAGCCTCCTTTTTGTCCTTCCTCTTTCCTGCTTCTCGGACTGCAGATGTCAGGGATAGAGCTCCAGCAGTCACTTTGGACAACAAGGATAAAGGTAACACATTAGCATGACAAAGCAGTGATTTGAAATATGTCTGGATCTGACTACTTAGCAGTCTAGCTTTCAGCATCATTTACTTGAGAGGATATAAATCTGTAGTTTATTTAAGCCTGCTATCTTTTGCATTTTTATTTTATACACAGTGAACCTAATCCTAATGAGCACAACTCATGGCACAATTACACCAGGACACCTATTTCCTCTTTGCCCATCTTCCCAAATTAATTACACCTCAATTTTTTTTATTAACTCAGTACCAACATTTACATTACCATAACTATACAAATATTGAAAAACTACACTTCCCATTTCTGGTAAAGATGGCAGAGTAGGCAGACAT